CCTATATCCCGGAGACCCAGTGGGTGCCTCCCTCTCTTCCCTTTCTCCTCCCTCAGTTGCTCAAGAGCGAGCAACTTCTTGTTATTCGTTGCAAGGCTCCTGTTTGGAACAGAGTGGTTTCTTGGACCTCATGCCCTAACCTCAATATTGCACATTTATGTACCTTTAACTCAGGGTGGAACTTTCCCATTACTCCCACCCCACCTCCGATGACAGCTGAACTTTGCCTTTTATCAGTGCTAAGTCCTTGGTAAGAGTGAGTTTCCTGTCCCATCCCCAGCAGCAGATGGCTTTTGCTTCTACTTCCTCTAGCAGTAGTGACATTTCCCTGGTACTGTGCCAGGGAGAATTTCTTGCCTTTCTCCTAGACAGATGGCTTTTGTCTCAAATGAGAAAAGGGTCCATGATTCTGGCATACAGTCCATCACGATCTATATGCCCATACCAGCGAGGAAGGTCTTTTAGGTCTCCTGTCCTCTTCCTTTCTCATGAGCACCCGGTGGATGCCTGTAGAGAAGATACAATGAGTGGTTATGGTCTCTTTTCTATCAAGATTGCATAGATTCTAATGTCATGTTAGCTCCTACCAAGCCTTTTAGATTTGGTTAAAATATAGCTTTCTTATACACGTTTATGGAAACTGTCTCTTCACCCTGTGCTTTTGTCAGTTGTGAAACAGTTGCCTCTCCTCAGAGGGATTTTTTAACTTCTGAAATTCAGTTCACTTGGTTGTCTTGTACCCTTAGCTGTAAAAAAGAAAAAAATTACGATTTTGTAGATTTTCTAATATTTATGTTGAGGAACAGTGCTACTGTCTTGAGGCTTTTAAGTTGCTAAGTGGAAACAGAACTCTGGAATTGTCTGACTGGACCATGTTGTTCCCTTTCTTTAAATGTCCTTTCCCAGTTCATCTTTGCCTTCAGGGTGAGGCCTAAACCCCTAAGCCTGGCTTGCCAGGACCTTTGTGATATAGCCCGTATCCATCTCATCAAGCCTTGATTTGCACTCCAGAGGCAGGGACCTTGATAGTTAATATATAAGCAAACCCTAAATGTCGTATTAGAAATTCTCTGTTTGTGGTCTTTATTTTTCAGTGCCTGAGAATCGCCTTCCATCCTTTAATGAGTGTTTCCTTCTTGTAACATGCTGTAGAGTTTAATTTATTTTTCTTTTCTGTATTTAAGCATCACTTATGGTTTTATGAAAGCAACATGAGTATATGTAATTGAGGAAGGAAATACCCAACAAATTAAAATGCTATTTACAAATTAGTTCAATTATTGATTCTATTACTCTTGGCGACTGATGAAGATTGGCAAAGAAAATAAAATTGTTCCCAAATAGATCTTAAGATCCTCATCTTTATCTGCCAAATTATGTAGCAAATAGGCAGGTGTATTATTTATTACTCTAGCATTTCATAATGAGTGTGTCTAGGTGTGCGAAATATCGACTGTTTAAACTCGTAAAGTGGATTATCTTCTGCCATCAGTGGCCTCCTCCCTTTATCTGAGGGTGCTGTACAAAAGTATTTTCTGAATGTGCCACAGTGTGAAAAACATTGGGAAGTGTTGGACTGGACAGTTCCCTACATTTTCCCCCCAAAAAAGTTAGGAGTAAAGCAGTTGGAAGGTATTGGTAATAATTATAATGAATACCTATCAGATTGTGTCTGTGTGCCAAGAGTTTGAAAAACACTACCTTTGTCCTCATTTCATGCTCAGACCAGTCCTATGAGGTATAATCATCTAGGGCACTTACCCATGGTTGTAAGTTAAGTGGCAAAGCTGGGGCATAAAATCAGGTCAAAAAGTCCTACCTTTTAACCATTGTAATTTTTTAAAATTATATTTTATTGATGATGCTATTACAGTTGTCCTGATTTTCCCCCCTTTGCTCCCCCTCCACCCAGGACCCCCACTCCCTCAGGCAATCTCCCCACCCTTGTCCATGTCCATGGGCCATGCATGTAAGTTCTTTGGCCACTCCATTTCCTATACTGTACTTTACATCCCCATGGCTATTCTGCATCTACCTATTTGTACTCCCTCCCCTCTTCTCCCATTCCTCCACACCCCCATCCCACCTGGAAACCATCAAAACAGTCTTCATATCCATGATTCTGTCTCTGTTCTTCTTTGCTCAGTTTGTTCTTTAGATTCAATTGTTTATAGTTATGTATTTTTTGCCATTTTATTGTTCATAATTTTGATACTCTTTTTCTTAAATAAATCCTTTTAACATTTCATATAATATTGGGTTGGTGGTGATGAACTCCTTTAGTTTTTTCTTGTCTGGGGAGTTCTTTATCTGCCCTTCAATTCTAAATGATAGCTTTGCTGGGTGGAGCAATCTTGGCTCTAGGTCCCTGCTTTTCATGACTTTGAATATTTCTAATAAATCCCTTCTAGCTTGCAAAGTTTCTTTTGAGAAATCAGCTGACAGTCTTATGGGAACTCATTTGTGGGTAACTCTCTGCTTTTCTCTTTTGCTCCTTAGATCATCTCTTTAACCTTTGGCATTTTAATTATGATGTGTTTGGAGTGGGTCTCTTTGCATCCATCTTGTTTGGGACTCTGTGCTTCCTGGACTTGCATGTCTATTTCCTTCGCAAAATTAGGGAAACTTTCTTTCATTATTTTTTCAAATAGATTTCCCATTTCTTGCTCTTTCTCTTCTTCTGGCACCCCTCTGATGCTCATGTTGGACCTCTTTTGACGTTGTCCCAGAGCCTACTTATACTATCCTCATTTTTTTTATTCTTCTTTTTTCTTTTAGTTGTTCTGACTGGTTATTTTTTGCTTCCTTATGTTCCAAATCATTGATTTGATCCTTCGCTTCATCCACTCTACTGTTGTTTCCCTGTAAATTGTTCTTCTTTTCAATTAGTGTATCCTTTATTTCTCACAGGATCTTTTTATGCTGTTAAGGCCCTCACTAAGTTCCTTGAGGATCCTTATAACCAGTCTTTTGAACTCTACATCTGACAGATTGCCTATCTCCATTTCATTTAGTCTTTTTCTGGGGTTTCAATCTGTTCATTTAGCCAATGTTTCTTTGTCTTCTTGTTTGGTAGCCTCCCCGTGTTTGTTTCTATGTATTAGGTAAAGTTACTTTGACTCTATCTTGGTAGTATGGCCTAATGTAGTAGGTGTCCTACAGGGTCCAGTGACACAGCCTCCCCTATCACCCAAGCTGGGTACTTAAGGTGCTCCCTCCTCTTGTAGTTGAGCCTTGGTTGCTGTTGGCAGGTCAATGGGAGGGATTTACTTAGGCCAGTCAACTGCAAGAACTGGCTGCGACCACTGACCACCAACCTCCACCCTCTGTGGAAGATCAGCTGTGGGAAGGCATGGTGGTGGTGCTCCAGTGTGATCTGTAGCTGTCCACTGGGTGCGCTGGCCCTGAGGTTTCCTGGGTGGTGCTGCCCAAGGTCAGCCTCCACCGGTGTTTTGCCTAGGGCCACCCTTCGTGAGCTATAAAGCAATCTGAGATGGCTGCTACCTGTACTGGGCTTGGAAACTCCCAGGTGAAGCCAAGCTGTGAAAGGAGGCTGGCTGCTCGCTGAGGCTAGCTGTTGCTTGTTTGACAGGATTTAGGAAGTTGTGAAACAGGAGCCAAATAAATCTAGCCATTCCTACAGGAAAGCAGCCTGGGAAGGCCGTAAGTTGGGTGGGATGGAGTCTCTGGGGATCTCCAAGGTGGGTCACACAGTGTTATCCAAGTTGATGGAGTCTCAGATATGGCATCAGCCTACCAGCTCTGTGCGGGGAGGGCATAGCAAAGGGACAATGGCCTATGCTCACCTCAATGCCAGACACTTCAGTCTTGCTCTGTACACCACTGGTGCCCTTCAAGCTGCCACCTCAGTATAGGAACTCAGAGGGAGTGAGTCTGAGTAGGCAAGTCCATGTGTGGGAACTACTTGAGGCTCTAGAATTTTCTTCCACTGACTCAATCCCCACTGATTGTTGCAGCCAGAAATTGTGGGGACTTACCTTCCTGGTGCTGGAACCCTGAGCTGGGGTGCCTGGTGTGGGACTGGGACTCCTCACTCCAGAGAGATCCCTCCTGAATTTTTATCCACCACACTGGGTGAGGGACCAACCTGTTCCATGTCTGCACCCCTCCTACCAGTCTGGATGGATGTGGTTTCTTTAATTCTATAGTTGTCAAACTTCCATTCAACTCAATTTCTGACGGTTCTGAGTGATGGCTGTTGTATATTTTAGTCGTAATTTTGATGTGGTTGTGCGAAGAGACAAGCTATGTTTGCTTACACTGCCATCTTGACTGGAAGTCTTAACCATTATGATTTATTCCCTACATTATTAAATTATGTGCAATAGAAAGGGTGCATGATTTCTTCTCTCATGTTTTTCTTTTCTCCTTGAGCTTTTGGTACTTACACAGAGGAAATTGTTTCTCATTTTTGTATTAGTTGATTGTTCTGATAGCAGATGAATTGTTGGAAAATGACCTATTTGAATTTTTGAAATGTTATGAGAAAAATAGGTGCCTGTAATTAAGTGAGAATTTCTGAGCACTGAAGAAGGAATTGGCACCCAAAAAAATAGCTGTTATCACATTGAAGGGAAAACATATTAAAATATGTGTGAATGCAGAGTGGGAGTGTCCTGCTGCTATTCAAGAAGTGCTCGAGTTTAGACATGTAGATTTTTTTTTGGATTCATTCACAAAGTGATAATGATTAGTGCTAGAAACATCAGAGAGCAAACGGCCCCCCTGGGTGCTGAAGTGTCATTCATTAGAGATTAAAGTTCAATACTAAGGTACACTGAAAGCATCACAAGTCCTTATGACTTTAAAGAGGATTCTGAATATTGAGTAATATCCTTTCATCAGTTTTCATGTGGTGTAAAATGCTGAGACACTTTCTAAATCCCGGAACAGGAGAGGTCTCTTTCTGTTCTTTTCACTTGCAGTATAATGAATACTTTGTTTGGAATTAAGAATATTTATATTTTTTTCCATTCTAGGTCGGTGACGTAGTAGAAGTCCAAGCAGATGAAACCTTTCCCTGTGATCTTATCCTTCTGTCTTCCTGCACTAGTGATGGAACCTGTTATGTTACTACAGCCAGTCTTGATGGGGAATCCAATTGCAAGGTAATGAAAACTAAACCTGGCCTAATCATTTTAAGCTTAGGATAGTTAAAATACTCCTTTTCACTGCCCCCTAATCTTTTATCTTATTTTATTTGTATAAGTTTTGTATTTGAAGACAGCTTGTATATAATTATCTTCGAACTTCTAAGCAAATTCTTAACTTTGGGGAAAAGGGTGGAGTTGAGTGAAGAAACTGCATGTCCCAAATGAAAGCCACCCCTTTTTTTTAATAGCATTGCTTGCATATCATATTGACATAACCTACTCAATATTTTATTAAGGCTCTTAAAAATGAGAGTCATCATAAGCTGAAACTATATAACTATGAAAATAATTTTAAGTACTCTCATCTTACAGTTTGATCTGTTTTTATTTTAAAAGTGATGAATATTTTTCTTTAAAAATGTTTATTCCTGGCATATAGAAAATCTAATCTGGAGTAATTTGATTGCTTTTTAAACAATACCTTAGGGTGTAGTTTGGCTAATGTTTGCTTTATTGCAACTAGGAAGAATTATAAATCTGTGAAAGTAAATTTGCTAAACTGGAAAAATCAATTACTTTCCTGGTACTTTTTGACACAGTCAATTTTTGGCCATCATCCAGAGTTCCGCAGAGCATGAATATGTATTCTCTACATGCTGCCTTTAAGAAATATTACTAATGTGCTCACTTCTGTGTGTATACTTGTGGGTTTTCCTTTGTTTATTTTATTCCATCTGGAATTGAGAACCAGGACTTAGTATATGAAGAAGGAACTTAAATGCCTTAGATGACTATATTCTGTACTTCAAGGGTGTGGTGATAAACTAGTCCCATTTCAACTGTTCAAAAACAAAGTTATATTCAAGGGAATGTCAAGGTAAAAATCAGGAAATCTACCTAAAGATTCCCTAATAGGGGAAAATGTTGTTTAGTTGACCCAATCAAATCAGCTGAAAGCACATAGGTTTTCAAAGTCAGGAGAGAGTTTTAAATATAGTTCAGGCAGCTCCATAGTATTCCTCAAAGGCTATGCAACAGCTTTCCCTTCTGTGTAAGTGGTGCAGTCTTTGAGTCTGTCAGCCTTTCTTTGATGATTTATAAATGGGTTCACTGGAGCCTGCCTTGAGTTCTGGGTAAATCAAGTACATGATATACCCTAGTAGAATATTCTGTCAGACTAAGGCAAAACACATCATCTTCTTGCTCCTTATATGAAATGTAGCCACTTGGAGCATTTTTAAGATCATTCATTATGCTATTTGGGTAATGAAACTATTAATGATTTTTTTTCATTCTGATGGCAAGACGTTAGCAGTCTTATGACCAAAAAGGATTTAATTAATATGTGGATATTTATATCACCATACACTACGGTGAGCAGAATAATAGGGTTCAGTAAAAATAAATGCATTAAATTTTTATGGGGGTTTCCGCTGATTATATACATGCTGCAAATGGGATTCTCTCTGCTGTCAGTATCAAGAAAAGCTTTCAGTTTTTTTCATTATCTTTGGAATCCCCTTGTGACAGGGTCATCTCTCTAACTATTTGTAATGTATTTTAAGAATTTAATTTAGTTGGAAATGTGCATCAGTACTTGTATTATTCTGCCAATGCCTCTTACTAAAACATACTGTGTTTCGGGAATCAGGTGGGTGTATGATTATGAAAAGAAATACTTTCTTGTTTTTGCTTTTGCTTCTGCTTTCATCTAGACACATTATGCAGTACGTGATACCATTGGACTGTGGACAGCTGAATCCATTGACACCCTCCGAGCAGCCATTGAATGTGAACAGCCTCAACCTGATCTCTACAAGTAAACATCACCTGGTTTCATTTTACTGCTGTCTGTTGGCTGTCCCTGTCTTTGCCACCAGTATTGGAAAGAAACACCCACCACTTAACAGCCTCCTTTCATTTGTGTTTTTATGAGCTGTTCCTTCCTTCTGGCAGGGAAATGAATCAAATCAGCCTTGTTCATTATCAGCCCAAGATAAATCATTATGAGCCCAGGCATCTTACTTTTGATTTTTTTTTATTTTTGTTATTTGTAAGCATGGCCATCTATCAAATATTAAAATGATATTATCCCATAAGACTGGCCTACCAAACTCATACATTAACTAAAACAAAAATAAACCACTTTGTGTGTCTTCTGACATCAAAGATAGAAGTGGATATGGAGCCATGGAATTAGTAGGAGCTCTCTTCTTTTATGTGATGATGATGATGAACTGCATATTGCAAATAAGCTCTTTTTTGTCCACAGTAAACAGTTAAGTGGAAGAAGTAGTATAATGGTACAATATCCTCTATTTTACTATACTCAGGCTTTCTGGAGTAGATTTGCTGATTAACAGTAATTGTGAGTTGTCAGAAATTTGGAATTTGATTTTTAAGCTGGTCAGTTTAGTTGATTACAGTATCAACAACAGCAGAGTAACAGGATTTATCCCCAAGTGTGCCAATTACTTTCATTGTATTATATACTATTACAAAGGGTTGTCCGGGCCAGTGGCAGCAGCATCACCTAGGAACCAGTTGGAAATGCAAATTATCACCTGAATCATAATCTTGGGTATGGGGCCCAAAAATCTGTAGTTTAATAAGCCCTCCAGTGATTCTGATGCATGCTAAAGTGAAAGAACTACTGATCTAAATACTGCTTTTTAAAGTTGTGTTAGCACCAAAAAAATTTTCTTCACATGAATCTAAAATAGAAGCCAATTATTTATATAAAGTATAAATGATAGGGGTGTTATGTGCATACACAATGCCAAGGAGATCTTGAAAATCAATTTAGAATATTTGTTTGCATTCTTAAAATATTATTTTAAGAAGTAGGTTAAAATGGTATACACCTCACTGTTATTTCATAGCTTTTTCAAAAATATAATACACATTCTTAGTTCAAAGTTTTATCTCTTTTGTAATCTTTGTATTTTGATATATTTTCATATTTGTGGTATGTAGATTTTACCTGGATATGGAAAACTCATTTGCTATTTTGTTCTTTTTGCAGATTTGTTGGGCGAATCAATATCTATAGTAATAGTATTGAGGCTGTTGCGAGGTTAGTTTACTATTCCTATAATCTGTCCTTGTAGAGGGGTTGGTATTTCTCTTTTAAGCCCATTAAACTAGCCAAATACTTCTTTTATAGAGAGAGATGTAAAGGTGAATAAATATGGAATAACTAAACAGTGTCCCACTAGTGGTTCTTAGGTAACCAACCTTTTCATTGGTAGGGGCTCTTGTGGAGTAGTATATGCGCGCGCGCGTGTGCGTGCGTGTGCGTGCGTGCGTGTGTGTGTGTGTGCGTGTGTGTGTGTGTGTGTGTGTGTGTGTGTCCGTCCGTCCTGGGAGGAGGGTGGTATTAGAAGTGATGCCGAAGGTTTCCAAAATTGCAGAGCTCCAGACACTTTGATATTCCCAGATCTCTTCTAGGCACTGTATTTATTGTCCTTGGTTGTTCAGTGGTTTAAGGGGGAGTCACTGAGGGTATGGACAGTGGATAAAATGCTGGAATAATTACCTAGACTTAAGTAAAATGAAAGGCTAATCATTTATAACAAAGCAATTCATATAAAAAGGGGTGTTTTTTTCCCTCTTCTATCATCCAGTACCTCAACTTTTCCACTTGGCCTTTATACAATACTCAAAAGGAAGTAAAAGAAACGCCCGGTTGCCCAATGATCCCCCCAAAGGCGGGTTTACTCTCCTCTCTATAAATATGTTAGTGTGTCTATCCCACCTTGATGTTTGCCTCCCCGGTCTTTTATCTGTCACCTCTTTCTGTGTCTTGCTGTCTGCTGCTTTGTTCTGTTCTTGTCTTGCTGTCTATGGCTCATAACCCTTTATCTCTCTGCATCTCTTTACCTCTGCGTGTTGCTGGCTACTCCTGTATTGTGGTTTTATCTGTGCTGTACCCTCAAGTAACTTCAGAGGGAAGGATCTTTCAGCTGGTCCTGGGGAGGAAGCATGTGATATAAGTAGACAGATATATTTTGAACCCAGGACATTGATATATGGGAAAATTATGTCCCCAAAGTTGATGGTGCTATTTATTGGGTTGTTCATGCTTTATTTAGCTGTGTTCATTTTTTATTTAGGTCTTTGGGACCTGAAAATCTCTTGTTGAAAGGAGCTACACTGAAAAATACCAAGAGGATATATGGTGAACAATTTTTAAGATATACTTATCAGAAATACACTTTATAAAGCCTGTGCATAAAGAGTAGATGTTAAAAATTGAACATAGATAATTGCTATTTAATCTTAGCTTATTTTTAGGCATCGGGAATTTATAAGATAGTAAACCAATTTGAAATATGACAAATTATATAGAATTAAAATTATACTATAAATGATATATCAACTGTTGAATACAAGGTTTAAAATTCCTACTTTTATAGGATGAAAAAAAAATGGATAGATCCAGCTAGATGGGTAGTTGGTTGTAACTTAGTTTTCATTTTATTCTGTTATTCCTTAGGAGTTGCTGTTTACACTGGAATGGAAACCAAAATGGCTTTGAACTACCAAGGGAAATCTCAGAAACGTTCTGCTGTTGAAAAGTTAGTGTGCGCCACAATTTCTTTAGTTGTTATTGAACTGAGGTAGTTACTTCTCAGTAATTCCAATAAGAACCATAATGAAAAAACAGTATCAATTATACTAGCAGCTACCCTTTTGAGCACTTTTTATGTTACAGAAACTGTGCACAATGATTTGTATTTCTGATTTTGTTTAATCCCCTGAGCAGCTCTGTGGAGTCATTCCTGTTAGCCTATTCACTTTACAGATGAAGAAATCATCTCAGAGATAAGTGATTTACCTAAGCTCACCCAGCTATGAAAAGGCAGAGTTTAGTTGAAATATAAATTTATTTCCTTTATTTCTGGATAATGGCTTGGGGTCCTATAGTTGTTATATTTAAGGAGTTTCTACAACATAGATAATAGTCTCTAGGCAAATGTTGAAGTAGAACCTGGTAGACCTTCAAGCCAGTTGACACTGGCAGGGACCTAACTTGTTGGCACAGATATCCAGCACATCAGTGACACCCTCTCCATAGATCTACTTTGAAACTAAAAGAATCCGCAGTAAGCTTGAGGATTTCACATTTGCTTTCCCACCCAGTACTCCAGATCTTTAGGATTCAGGGAAACAGAGACAACCTACTCCTATAAGGGTTGAGTAGGTAGAGAGAGAGAGAGAGAGAGAGAGAGAGTGTGTGTGTGTGTGTGTGTGTGTGTGTGTGTGTGTGTCCCCTATCACTTTATAGGATCCTTACTAAGGCTGTGTTAATCTAGTCCGCCACTGCACATTGGGGAGCATTGGTCACCAACATACAGGTCAGGCATGGCTTTTCCATTTTACCACTTGATAGTAACACTTAGCAGTGATAACCGAGGTTCATTCATTCATACATACGTTCATACATACATACATACAGGCTTGTGCTGTGGTTACACATCATATGCAGGAGAAGCTTTAGAAAACTGAATAGTTTAATTTAAACCTGGATGATATCTTAAGTAATTAAATGATTTTTCAACCTATAATATCTTATTTTTCAGGTCCATTAATGCCTTCTTGATTGTGTATTTATTTATCTTACTGGCCAAAGCTGCAGTATGCACTACTCTAAAGTATGTTTGGCAGAGTACCCCATATAATGATGAACCGTGGTATAACCAAAAGACCCAGAAAGAACGGGATACTTTGAAGGTAATTTATTTTATGCTGAAAATTTTAACTATAGCACTTTTTGACCACACCACCCTTTATTGAAATGCTGCTCAGATAATGATGCCTTTTGTTAGTTTCTGGGTTCTCTCTTGCTTGTATGGTAGCCCTGAGCCATTACATAGTTAAGTTTTAGAGTTTTGTGGGGGTTTTTTGGTTTTTTACTTTGGCTTCTATGCTTGTTTATGGCTCTTTAAGAGTTTTAAATAATTCGGGCAAGAAGCTGGCATGTTAATATATAATATGAGCTTGTGGTACATTATGCGAGGAGCATAATGAATGTCAACGTATAAACTTTGCTCCTACATTCCTGTCTTGGGGTAGGAAGAGCAGACAACTTAAGGAAGTAAAAAAAGGATAGAGTGAAAATGTACATTTACTGAAGAATAATGACAAAATTGAGGGTGTTTTCACATACTGTGATAATAATCTTGACCGATGAATAGGGAATTTTGGAAGTTTTTGTCTTTATAGCAAGAGCAGTGCTTTCAGCATTGAAACACAAGATAGAAAGTTAACCTAGTTATTTATATTACACTTGTTTAATGGAACCGTGCACCTAATTAGCATGAACTATTTGTTTGTTTTAGGTTTTGAAAATGTTCACCGACTTCCTATCATTTATGGTTCTGTTCAACTTTATCATTCCTGTCTCCATGTATGTCACAGTAGAAATGCAGAAATTCTTGGGCTCCTTCTTCATTTCATGGGATAAGGACTTTTATGATGAAGAAATTAATGAAGGAGCCCTGGTTAACACATCAGACCTTAATGAAGAACTTGGTCAGGTTGGAACTTATTTTTACTTAAAATACGTTAACATAGTTAAAATATCTTTTCCTTGTAGTCTGGATTACTAATACATGTAACCATTTCACGTTTGGGAATGTGATTCAGAGAAAAAATTTATACAGACATGCAATGAAGGCACGCAACTTTTCCATAACTATAACATCAGTCATTTTGCTGGCATTTTTGAGAAGGACTTCAATTTGTGTATTGAATTTTAATGTTAAAGAAATTCTCTTTAAAACTCACCTGGTGATGTTTTCAGATCATTAGTTATTGCTTTGGAACAGGAAACGTAGTCTTCATCACCAACTATAACCATTCGTGGATAGAATATGGGTTAGTAAATAAAACTATTTTATAAATGCATTTTGTTCCATAAATTAGATTGACCAAAGTTGTCCTATTGACATTTTCTTAGTACATTTCTGGACAGATGCAATATAGACCTAGAAGCAATTGTTTATCATAGTTCAAAAATTTAAATGAAGGAAAAGTGTGAGGGCATGCACTCCTCAAAATGCTTTTTGCTTCCTATACCAATGTAGCCCAGGCTGTGACCGTGTTTCTAACCCAGGTGCATTTGTTTTCCCATGCAATGCAATCTAGCTATAATTCTTCAAGTGATGACTTCGTAGGTGCTTTCTTATCCGCACTGAGAGACTTTTTCCCTTTGTTTGAATTTACTGTGTCATGCAATGGTCTTCACAAACTCAGGGAACTTTTTGGCTGCATTTAATTCTCATGATATTTAGAATGTCAGGCATGTGGAAATGTCATTTCTGTGACTGTGAGAAGCAAATTCAGTTAATGGAACTGTGTGGCTGGAACAGGGCCTCACACTTGTTTTAAATGGTTCCAATTTGCATCTACATTTCAAAACTCTCACTGAATTTAGTCCCCCTCCACCCCCGCTCTCTATTTCTGTTCTTTACACAGCCTTTACATAAACCAAAGTACCCTCTTGACAGCTATAGTCACAAGAGTGAAAAAACTCTCCAGATATTATTTTGTTGAAAACCTGTCTTCAAAACTCCAGAATTCCAAACCATGGAATCTGCAATTCACACTGATACTAAGTCTCTAAGGATACAACAAGAAATGAATGAATGAATGCTTTCCCCTTAGATACTCTTCCCAGAAGATTCTTTTGTAAGTGATTTCAGCAGCAACAGCTGACTTTAGCCTTTTTAAACTAGAAGTTTTCATCAGGGACAGAGGTATATGAGCAAAACTACTCCAGTATAAAAGGCATCAATTAGTGGCATTTTTGCTTGAAAAACAAAAATTAAATTACAAGCCACCTCTTGGGAACTTTTTCCTGACAGCTGATTTTTTTAAATTTTATTTATTTATTTTTAGAGAAAGGGGAAGTGAGGGAGAAAGAGGGGGAGCTAAAGATTGATGTGAGAGAGAAACATTGATGGGTCGCTTCTCGCATGTGCCCCGACCAGGGACCGAACACACAACCCAGGCAAGTGCCCAGACTGGGAATTGAACCGGCAACCCCTTGCTCTGCAGGATGATGCCCAATGAACTGAGCCACACTGGTCAGTGCCTGTGACAGCTGGTTCAGTTGAGCAGATTCAGTGCTTGGCTGTGTGGATTAACCTACCCAAAGATGAACATGGCTAGCTAGGCTCAGGCTACTGCAGATAAAACAGCCATCATTCCATATGCCTAATGCCCACCAGAAACAGGCAGGATATCTGGGCCAGGTTCCGCTAGAAAAAACTCTTTATCTCTTCCTTTCAGATCTCCACCTCAGCAGATTCCATGTTACCTATGGGAATGTAATCCCTATCATTTAGACTGTATTCACACTGCAGAAAGTAAAGTGGAGCTTTGGGTAATGATCTGGTAAATTTGATCAGTGAAAAGAAACTACTGTCTTCATTTCATCCACCGCATCTTTCTCCAAACAAAACGTGCTTTTCTGTGTGTGATTGCCATTTACTTAATATAACCAGACCACCACCTCAATATATGCAGGGAAAAAAACAATTTGCCATCATTATCAGCTTACACATGTAGAAACTCTCGGAATGAAAATGCAAAGAAGTCTTGAAATAGTTTCTTAGATCATTCAGCTTTCAATGGAACATTACACACAAGATGCAGTATAACCAGTTTCCTCTTTGATGAGTCATAATTTAAGATATATAGGGCTTTCTGTGTTGCTAAAAGCAGTATCAATTAATTTTCATCAACACCATTGCAAGCACTTGCATAACCTGTGTTTTTTAAGATTTTATTTATTTTTAGAGAGAGGGAAAGGGAGGTAGAAAGAGAGGGAGAGAAACATCCATGTGTGGTTGCCTCTCCCACTCCCCCCACTGGGGACCTGGCCCACAACCCAGGCATGTGCCTTAGACTGGGAATCGAACCGGCGACCCTTTGGTTCACATGCTGGCACTCAATCAACTGAGCCACACCAGCCAGGGCTTGCATAACCTCTTTAAAAATGATCTACTTTAGTATTTTATAAAAATAGGAAGATGTGTTTAGGACATTGTTTTACTTGAGAAACAAAAAGAAGTAGACTGCTCATTCAGTTCAGTTGGAAAAGGATGGGGTCTTTTACAATCAGACATCAGTCATTTACACAACCAAGTGGTTTCAACCTATTTTGGAAAAATAACCTGTGGGGATAGCCTCCTTTTTAATATCCCCTCCCAGGCTTGCAGCTATGCTTAATGATTTGTCTGAGTATATCCTCTGATTCCAACAATTCAATCCGGTGATGTGTATTGAACTTCTGTGTATCTAGGATATGTTCTTGGTACTGCGGTTACTTCTATAAAGTAAATAAGAAATCCTCAAGTTTTTTACCATTTAGTTGGAGAAATACACATATAATACCTAACTATAGCAATGTGATCATAATAATTCAGAAAAATTAGGGAGGGTGGGATGATAGAAAGAGTCCAATATGTTTAGTTTTGCTTAAGTCAATAGCAATGACAATCAACATCTATTGAGCACATCATAGTTTGCAAACATGTGTATTGCTGAGCTTTATTTTGTATTCTTTGCAGCCCTGTGCAGCAGGTTTAGTTATTTAAGGCTAATATTTAAAGTTCAGAGAGATGAAGAGAATGTTCCCAAGGTCACAAAGTTAGTAGACACTGGAGCTGAGACTCCATTCCAGGTGTTCCTTTAGCTTGAACATGGTTGACCAATTTTGAACTATGAGATAGGCAATTTCATGTGTTCAACCTTCAGTTCAGAGTCCTTTCTACCTTAGGACATCTATCTCACTTTAGGCTTTCTATCTGTAAAGTGGTGGGTTTGAGCCTGTTGATAGAGAGGGGCCTTCTTTGCTGTTTCAAACCCACCACTAAAGAGGAAGAAGCTGTTGAGTCAGAGGCAACCAGCAGTCTGTCACTCTTTAGCCGTCTTTCTTCATTTAATATTAGAATACATGCTTTTTAATGACAGCCAATCCCCTCCCCCTTTCCTGAGTATAGGGTGTATATTAGAGCAGTGGTTCTCAAGTATGATCTTGGAATGAGGAGCATTAACATCACTTAATAGATTTCTGGAAATTCTCATTAACTGACCCTGTCTTAGAGCTACTGAATTAGAAACTCAGGATAGAACCCATTGATCTGAGTTTCAACAAGCCCTCCAATTAAGAGTGATGCACACTACAGTTTGATAATTACTATATTAGGTTATAGTTTATTGGCCTGTTCCTTTGAGATTTATTGTACACAGAGCCATACTGTACAACCTATTCTATATCAGTAAACAATTTCACTTTATATTTTTTAAAATTACCACCTTTGACACTCATAAAAGATTTCTGAATGGGTTAATTAATGTTCACCCTAGCACAGGAGGTGCAACAACTCAGGTAACCTTTAGGGGGAAATGAAGGTTAATAATTTTGATCAGAAAAAAAGCCCCAAAGACTCATTTAACTGGAAAAAATCTAACAACACAGGAATAATACCACTTGGATTAATTTAAAGAGAGAATTCAAACTTGGCTGGCTAAGAGGTAAAAAAAAAAAAGAAGAAGAAGAAGAAGATTGGAATGCTATATTTGTACCAGTGCTGCTAACGTAAAAAGCTTTGAAAAATAATTAGAAAGCAACTACTTCTGGAGTTCATCTCTTTCTCCCTTACATAATAGAAACCTTAATCTTGGGCTTATGCTTTTTTCTGTCAGCCCATAATTTTAACTATTTAAGCATAAATTGCCAAAAGAAGGATAAAATTGTGGGTTTCCAAAAGCCAGATGTTATAAATAGAAGAGATAAAAACTGAGATAAAATGGAAATGCTCAAAATGACTTATTTACATGGAAAATTTACTTTGTAGCTTATTTTTTCCATTATTTGTGAAAGTATGCTTATATTATACTTTAACCTATCATAAAACTCTGCTTTTTTAGTTTGGAAACTTTTCTGAGATGGATCTGAAAATATACATAGTTCATGAAAAGAAATCTCAATTATGTTTTTGATCATTATTGACTTATTCTGTCTCTTGATCAAGTGATTTAACATTATTATTTCCCCTCTCCCATCTATATTTTGTAGCTCTTATACACATTATATGAAACAATGCATTTTACTTCAATCCAATATAGTTATAGAATATTTTACTTTTTAAGGGAAAGTTTTATTATATCCCAGTTAATTTAGGGTGTGTGTGTGTGTGTGCAGATGCATACACACATCAAAGAAGTGGTCAGTCTATTCTTGTCTTCCCCTTGGAAAATTGACTTTTCTTTTGTAACTTCTTTATATCAAAATGAATAAGTATTAAATTGAAGGGTTCTTTGATAAAATAGACACATTCTTTCTTCCTAATAACCTTCTATATTGGAGTAGATCTGCCTTAGACATGTGATATTGTTTTGGTGTCTTTAAAAATACTCATTCATTTCTCATTCATTTGATAATATTGGTTCTGTAACTGCCTGACATTTGACAGGAAGTCTTAGAAAAGATGTTTCTTATGGATATGGAAATTGCTCTACCTTATACCCAACTAAAACCTAATCACAGTGAGCAAAGTTAAAATGTATGTTTATGTCCTTGTTTTCAGGTGGACTATATATTTACAGATAAAACTGGAACACTCACTGAAAACAGCATGGAATTCATTGAGTGCTGCATAGATGGGCACAAATATGAAGGTGTAACTCACGATACTGATGGACTCTCTCAAACTGATGGACCCTTAACATATTTTGACAAAGCAGATAAGGTGCCATTTTCTGCATTACCATTTTACCTTCAGAAATCAATCTATGTATGCATGTGTTAACCCCGCATAGTAGAAATGAAGAATTTGGGCCTCTGACATAGACTTTTCAATGACCATTTGTCCTCTCATTTTACCTTTCTTGTTTTACTAACACCTCTAGAATTTATAAACAAGTATTGTAGAATTTATAAGTAGAGAGAATTATTGGAGACTGTGTTTGGGTAAATCTTTCACTTTCCTGTCTGTGTGATCATAATTTTTTGTGCTTTTTCTTTAAAATATGAGCTGCTCCAAGAATTATATCTATTGAAATCACTCAAGTCCCAGGAGTATCTAGGCATAAAATGAACCAGAGTCTCCCTGTGCCTGAACTACTGCCAGACTGTGAATTAGATACTGAATGAACTCTTTTACGCCATGAAGAAGGCAATGCTTTGGTATTAGCTGGAGTTACACTAACCTGAAAGAGTTAACACAGCCCCCAGGGTATGTTAGCTGAGAACCAGGAATGCTGTTAGGTACCAGGAGGATATATAGCTCAATTGAGTATTAAGAATTTATAAATTTCGCTAGCTCAATTTGCCAGAGGTTATAGCTTTCTCTCCCATTAATATCTCTGTTCATGGACTAGTTACCGGTGATCAAAGTGAAAATAATAGGGTTTTTTTTGTTACTGTTTAACAGAATCGAGAAGAGCTCTTTCTCCGTGCCTTGTGTTTGTGCCATACTGTAGAAATTAAAACAAATGATGCTGTTGATGGAGCTACAGAAGCAGCTGAATTAACCTATATGTCCTCTTCACCAGATGAGATAGCTTTGGTGAAAGGAGCTACAAAGTAAGCACTTAAACTATTGTAGATAAGTTCTAGAGATCTACTATACAACGCCATATGTAAAGTTAACAATGCAGTATTTTAGCCCTTTGAAATTTGTTGAGAGTAGATCTCATGTTAAGTGTTTTTACCACAACAAAATAAGAAAGAGACACAAGGAAACTTTGAGAGGTATCAGATATCTCTTACCTTAATTGTGGTGATGATATCATGGGTATTTTCATGTATCCAAACTCATCAAATCACACACATTAAATATGTGCAGTTCTTTGTATATCAATTATACTTCAATAAAGTTGTTTTTAAAGCCCTAAGGGAAGTTGTAGAGAAATACATTAGCATTTTTGAAGAGTGAAAAAAAGTCATTTACTGTACTTGTCCTGAAAAAGTGAAATGACAGGACAGGAGTTATTTCTTTTCCTCTGTTTGCTGCAATTACCTTATCTTATAAATATTCTTATTCTTTAATAGAAAGTCGACTCCTTTATCTGAAAGCTTATGGAAAATTTCCAAACCCTAACAATTAAGAGCAAAAGGAAAATAGTAATACATAGAGATAACTTGCATTGCTATTTATGCATTTCAGCCAGCTGTCTAAATGTTCATGTTATATTTTGCAAATCATAACAATGGCCACTTTTTGTACAACACACTATTTCTGACGTGCTCCCAGCAATTTGGACATCATTTGGGAACAACAGTCCCATTTTACCCAGGAGACCCAAGATAATTAAGTAGCTAAAAGGTTACCCAGTGTGTTAGTTACAGAATTGGTATTACAAATTGCCTCTTTCTTGGTTACAGTTTGTGACTGGGCGTTGACTTGCTCTGTGTTATCATCTCAGCCAGTAAAGGGAAATACAGTTGTACATTGAGTTCCTCTGAAAGAGAAGAAAACACAAGATTACAAGTAACCCCAGTGCAAAGAAAGTTAATCATTCTTTAAAGATATACAAAGGTTTTTTTTTATTGTTTTTGACAGGTATGGGTTCACATTTTTAGGAATTCAGAATGGCCATATGAGAGTAGAGAACCAAAGAAAAGAAATAGAAGAGTAAGTAGCGCTGTGTGTTTGTTTGTCACGTCTTCACCCCACAGTCAACCTTAGTTGAATTTAGTAAGGGCAGCAAAGGAAACTGATAGCATCTGTAAGTGTAGGACTCCGCTCTCCCGGTTCAGAGTTTTATGTAAATATAGTTGGAGGAGGAGAAAGACATTTTTCATAGAATGGCAGAAATTGAGATTTAAGGTGGAAAGGATGCCAGTTTGGTTTACATATGAGTCCAGTAGCCTGAATGAGAGTCTGCCTGGACTTTCCTTCTGAAATGAAAATGCCATTTCAGGTCTCCAGCACACACTGCCTGAACAGTTAGTGGACATACATGAAACCTTCTGTCCAGAAGCCAACCCATTAACTCCGGGATTTTTTCAAGCCCAGCCAGTCATAGCAGCTTTGGTGTCAGAAGCTTTGTCTTGTTCTAGATGCTTAGGGTCGAAGCTCGGGACAAGTGCTCTGATGCATGAGTGTCTCCCCAGCAAAGAAAGCCACCTTGGCAAATTTGAATTAGGCTCTGTGATTAATTTGAATTCCTTCATCTGAACTTGAATTGTAATTTTTCTGGCTTACATTCTGGCCTGTAGCTTTTCATGAGACCCATCTCACAAACCTGTACTACATGTATATGTGCTTGGGGAATATGCACCTTTGGGGAGAGATGCTCAGAAGCCGGAGGAAGGCTCTTTGACTTGACTGCTAAGAGCCCAGAATCATCATCAGATCAGATTCTAGCCAGTTCACAACAGTGCCCCCATCTTGGCCAATGCCAAATGAAATGCTGCATGTTGATACCTTACACACACACATATCCGAAATTGATGACCTCTTCACTCCCATCAAAAACAAGCTTTGTAATAAACATTTTTAGGTCAAATGCTTATATTCAAGTTATTTATTTTCAAGAAAATATTTCCTCACATTTTGTTAATAATTAACTCCTGTTTTTACCCCTTTGCATTCTTCCATTTGATTACTGTAACTCAGACATCCACATACAAATCTGATTATACCATTCTACTGTTGAAACTCTTCAGTGGATTCCCATTGCTCTTAGGATAAAAGGCCACAATGTTCTCATTTCCCAGCCCCTGCTTACCTTTCTTACTATTCCCCTACCAACTAGATTTCAAGCCTCGGTGAACTCCTTTATATCCCCCCACCCATGGTCCATGTGCTGTCATGCTCTTGTGCCTTCGCGCATGCTCTTCCCTCTACTCAGCATGCCATGCTACCCTTTCTTCATTATATCACCTCTAGAGAATACAGCTCAGGTACAACTATTTCCAGGAAGCCTCCCTTTGGATGTCTTCATTCTTGCCCCTGCATCTCCCCTGTGAGTTCCTTTATTACACAGTGTTTGACAGACTGGGAGGTACTCATCTCATTACCTCTGACTCCCTTATCATATGGGGAGCCTTTTGCGGGAAGGGACTCAGGCAGATTCCTGTCTATTTTCCAGCACCTAGCACTGTGCCTGACACATAGTAGGCATTCTGTAGATGATTAAAATAATTGGCAGGATGGGACTATTTCTAGACCTCTTCAGATATGACTTGGTGGGACATCTGTTTGCCCCACATTCCCATGTAATTACTCTCTCCTTAGGATTTTAAGTATTATGGTGAGAGGATACAGATACCCCTCACTGACCATGGTGTCCTCTTGACAGCATGTTCTAAGCGCTGAGAACTTTAACAAATGCAATGGAAACCAACGGTTGTACACATAACCAACACCCCTTGCCCAAAGAGGAGAGCCCTGTTCATTTAAGGTGTTTGAATGTCTTAAGATGTTTCTCTAGTGTTTTATTTTTCTCCAATGTGCTCTAGGTGTTTTACTTTTCTCATTTTTCTTCTCATAAAGGTATGAACTTCTTCACACCTTAAACTTTGATTCTGTCCGCCGTCGTATGAGTGTCATTGTGAAGACTCAAGCAGGTCCGTATTTTGAAAATTTGACTTTCTCTCTTTTTACATTTTAGATTTACATGTTGACAGTTTCAAGAAAGAAAATATTTCAGTAGTGGTATATGATTACCTAACATCATGCAAAGCAGTAGCTTTTTTATAGGCCTAATGTATTTATGTAAGTAAGCACATATGTTCAGCCTGCCAGATTGTCAGCGGCAGAACCCCTGGTATGACAGCATTTGCATTTTCTTGGAAACTGAACTCTACTCCTCAGTCCTGGTTGTCCAAACACAAACTGAAAGGGTACATTTTTTGGTACTACTGACCAATCACCAACAATGTCTACGTGCAGCAGCCCAGTACAATCGTGGGGGTTTGTGATCGCTAACCATAAAGTGCTTGAGTGTAGAGAGTTGCTGGTTATCCCTCCCTGACATTCCTCATTCCCCGCTGCTTTACATTCCCTTGAAGCCAGTGAGCTAAAGATAACTAAGGGCTCACCTAATGGGAAAGGGCATTGTAATTTTACCCCAGCACTCACCTCTTTGACAGAGTAAAGAAGCTTATCCTTTGCGAGGGAACCAGTACCATCATGCCAGGGCCCCCCCCCCATATCTTTGGAAGGAGTCATGGTGGTTGGTGGTTGAATTCAGGAAGACTCATAGAAAGAACTGCTTCATTTGAGGGCTCTCAGAAGCCTCTGTATCTCTGTGTGTATGTGAGTGTATCTGTCTCCAGGTGTTATTTTTTTTTCCCAAAATAGCCTTGATTACTTTTCTAGTAATTCAATTTTTAGTATTAAATCTGTTGCAAATTCCTTAATGTGAGAATGGGAAGATACAGACATACTCGACAGGGAACATATCCAACTTCACATTATGTCAGTGTGGAATTTGCTTTGTGACTTTCAGACAAATTGGATGTGTGAGAAAAAAAATGAAAAAAAAAACCCTTAACATTTGAAATACTGGCTGTTTTCCCCTGTGCACCTGCACACATGCATTCTACGGCAAAGGTGAGATGCCTGGGGAAGTGGTTGGCCAAGGGCCTTGATTTCAGAGCTACATATTTTTCTTAACTTGTTGAACTCAGCATTTTGCCTTATGAGGATGAAGTTTCTTTCTTAATGCTCAACTGTGACTACTTTCTGGGCTGCAGGGACTGATACAAAGTTATACTTGTACTATCATTCTACCAAACTAGTCTCAAGTTTCAGGTAAAAACTATCAAGTCAGTGTTTTAAAAGCTAATTTGTATAGTTCTTGAAAATTATCTTGTTTAGTTTGAGTTTTGTCCTTGACACCTGTAGATGCCACACATGCTCTTTACACCATGACTGATGACATTTTCAAAGATCATTTGGGTGCAGCCTCTTGACACAAGCACAGTTTTTCGTGATCCACTAGAAGGAAGTATATTTTGACAGAGGTGCATGTTGTAAACTATGAGTTATTAGCTATGTCTGTATTGGTCTTAAGAGGTGGTGAATATTGTCCTGACAGAGAAAAGAGGAAGATATCTCATTGCATTTGGGTGAGCATTGCAAGGCAGGCTCAGGATATACTCATGTAACATCTGGGTGGAAGTGTCCACCCTAAAAGTTATTCGGTTATTAAAGTCCCAGTACAAGCCTTAAAATTCTAAGTTGAGTACTTTGCTTCTTTATTGTAGGAGATATACTTCTCTTTTGTAAAGGAGCAGACTCAGCAGTTTTCCCCAGGGTGCAAAATCATGAAATTGAGCCAACTAAAGTCCATGTGGAACGAAATGCAGTGGTGAGCCTACACCTCTACCCCCAAGAAATAGAAAGAGAAATGCTGGAGATGACTATGTTTATGGGCTTGCTATTTAAATATCTGGTTTTTGAGCTTATTTTTATGGTCTATTTTTAGATTTGGGGCTTTAGTAATATTGTTTTTCTTATTTTAATAAAGAACATTATCCTACAGCAAGTTTCTTTTCAGAATTTGTAGCCTTAAAGACTTTTCGAGAATCTTTGTATTATGTTCTGCTTTTATTTTTACCCCCAGAGATAATTATTTTGTTATTTTGAAACTAATTGAATGTTACCTTTATAGTTGTGATTTGTTCTTCTTTTTACTAAAAATGTGTCAGAGTTTCTCTTTTGTATGGTAAAGCAAGAGTATTTAAAGAGAGTATGGTTTTTTCCTATTATTATTTGGATAACTAGAGGTCTCCTATTTTGCTTCTAGGATGGGTATCGGACACTTTGTGTAGCCTTCAAAGAAATTGCTCCAGATGATTATGAAAGAATTGACAGACAGCTCACGGAGGCGAAAATGGCCTTACAAGACAGAGAAGAAAAAATGGAAAAGACTTTTGATGATATTGAGAGAAACATGAATTTAATTGGAGCCACTGCAGTAGAAGACAAGTAACTGAAAAATTATATTCTTGTTATTTGAATGACCATTCATTTAGGGTGGTATCTGCTCAGATTGGTAATTTAATCTCCAATTTTGGAATATTTGATTTTGCATTATTTACACACCAGATCTTGAACTGTTTATGGGAATGGTTTTTAAGTTATATATTTGTGGCTTAAAAGAATGAATCGGTCATCTCTAATGTCTTTTGAATATTTACTAAGCCATCCATTTATTTATGCAGATATTTATGAAATAGTCTTATTATGTGTAGGGAGCTTTGTGCTGGAGGCATCATTTCAGCTGAGCTGGTGCCTGGTAGAATAGGTAAAATTTTAGCAGAGATGAGCAGAAAGGAAAGTCAAGGTAAAGCAAATAACATGAGAGCTTATTCTGACCTGGTTTAACAGCTAGAGCTTGTTTTGCATACTCTAAAATCATCTTTTTTAACTAATAGGTTGAGCTCTGACAGACGTCATTGTAGGGTTCCAGCATTGATCATCCTGACAGTTTCAGACTTTTAATATTTTAGGAGCCTTTTTTTTTTTTTTTTTTAGAAATTACAAGTGCAAATTGTGAGACTTAATCAAACAAAAAGTTACAAACCTATATATTCAGACACATTGGAAGCTAATGAAATTCATTTAGTCTAATTTCATTTTTATTCTCTTGCCTAAAGAAACTCAAAGAAAGTATCATCCTCCTTTTATCCCTGCCTTTCAGAATTATGCTTAAATTCTCTTTCAGGATTGTTGGCTTTCCTATTCTTAAAGCTGCTCAGGGATGTGATTCACTAACTTTCCTCTATATCTCATGAGAATGTCTTTGGCCTTTTCTGTTTTGAACCATGTTAAGTATTTGTGTGGTGAGATATAAAAAATAATGTAATATGCTAAAGTAACAATGAATAAGAATGCTTGGTGAGTTTCTAAGTATTTTAGCTAAGAATGATTATTCTCAATTCTGCTGTAGGATACCAATTATATCAAGAGATGCCATGAATTTTCCCAAACCTCATTGTTTGAAATTGGCTAATAAGTAAACTGTGCCAGGGAGAACACACTCAGAGTAGAGGATATATAAGAAAACCAACTGTGATAACATGCCCGGACCCTAGAAATGCTGTGAATTGTGAAAATATTCTCTTTAATAAGCTTTCTTGCAGCATCTCTGTGGGGAGTTTTTGAGAATAACAAGATTTCCTTTGTGTTCCCAGGCTACAAGATCAAGCAGCTGAGACCATTGAAGCTCTGCATGCAGCAGGTCTGAAAGTCTGGGTGCTTACTGGGGATAAGATGGAGACAGCCAAATCCACCTGCTATGCCTGCCGCCTTTTCCAAACCAGCACTGAGCTCTTGGAACTGACCACAAAAACCATTGAAGAAAGTGAAAGGAAAGAAGACCGATTACATGAATTGTTGAGAGACTATCATAAGAAGTTGGTGCATGAATTTCCTAAAAGTACTAGAAGCCTTAAAAAGTAAGAAAGTACATTAGTTTCTTATATTTAGACATTGGTGCAGATGTAAATCACAGCTGCTTATGCAGAAGGCACCCTTTTTTATCACTCTTTGTTTGCAGGTATTTTATCCTTGTAACTTAAAACTGTCCCTGAGGATGTGGCTAACAGCCCAGTTGACATTATTTAGCACTTTCTACCTCTCCTTTAATTTAAAAGGAAACACTGTCTAGGGAACTAGTTCAGTTTCTCAATATTTAGGGTCTGTGTATTTAACATTGACATTCTGTCCTGGTCCACGTGAAGAAGAAAATGCTTCTTTTCACAGTCTCTTAAACCGAATGTAATACAATGGTCTTTGTAATAATTTCCATGTATTTGGAGACCCTGGAATCGTTTTCTGTGTGGATTTTCATGCCCCAGAATTCCAAAGGGAACCAAATTCTCGTTAACATGGACTCTTCAACTCTGCTTTAAACTAGCTGCTTAAAAATAACTTGTGGAACCTAAGGATCTCAAGGAAAGCCACTGATCCACAATAATTCAGTGATAAATTTTTCTATATGTATCACTGACCAAGGCTTAGCCGTATCTAAACCAATTTCTGGAATTTACCTTGGCCATTAGCAAATAGATTTCCTCTTCAGGAATGCTACAGGATGTGCCCGAACTGAATTCAAAGCCCCTCTAGATAATCCTGGTTTTCATTTCTTGAGCACGCTCTTTGCTCCAGGAACAATGTTAACCACTTTGGTTATATAATTATTCTCATTTAATCTTCACTACAACGCAGTAAAGCAATGTTATTTTCTTCATTTTACAGATAGGGAAACAGAGGCTCAGAGAGATGAAATGACTTAATTCAAGAAGACAAAGCTAATAAGGGGTGGAACAAGTCTGTCCAATTCCAGAGCCCATGCTATATCTTTAACGATATCCGCATTCTCATCTTTAGTGTTTAAATCAACTTTAAAAATGAGTAGCCCATGTTTAGGAGGCTATGGCAAATTCTAAAACAGCTGTAGTTCTTTTAGTGTTTGGACATCAATGAAATAAACAGGTTTTTCTTAATTGCCTATCATTGATGTTTCCTTTCTTTAGCCAAATGATATTTATAAAGGCAGTCCAAATTACATGCATTTTACTTGTCCATTTGTCTTAGTCTACTTGGGCTACCACTGGGTAGCTTAAACAGTGGTAGTTGATTTCTCACATCTGGTGTGGTCCCTCTTTCTAGCTTGCAGAAGGTAGCCTTTTCACTGTGTTCTCACACTACAGAGAGAGAGGAAGCTCTGGTGTCTCTTTCTCTTACAAGGGCACTGATCCTATCATAAAGGCCTCACCTTCATGACTTCATTTAAACCTAAGTATCTCCCAAAGGCTCCATCTTCAAATACCATCATCATATTGGGGGTAAGAGCTTCAAGATAGGACTTGGTGGGGGACACAGTTTAGTCCATAGCACCATCCAGCAGCTCTGGAGCACTTTTATAAAAGCCAGGGCTTATGGAAAGCTTAACTCACCAGCTCAGAACGTTCCCTCTTCCTTGCTCATCTGTCTAGAGTTGGGCGGTTGCAGTCTTTCCCCAGCTTACATAGGTGTCAGAGCTGAAATCACCTTTGCCAGCTACTGAGCCCTATTCATGTTCTCAGTTTCACCACTAGTGCTGCATATCAGATTTGTAGCAACTCCAGCCTCAAATCCCTTCAGTCCCTCTGCCAGACAAATGGGCCTTAATTAAATGTAAAGTACTGACTATATCATGTCCCTGCTCGGAAACCTTTAGTGGTTCTACATTACCCACAGAATCAGTTTGCATCTAAGGCCTCAAGTGACATTTTCAACTTGCTTTCCGTAGCGCACCATAGCATACATTCTCTTCCCCCACCAATTTCTGCACTGTCTTTGAAGTTCCATTTCAGATATTACACCTCACCAAGAACCCGCTGTTTTTCCTGTGTATTTGTTGTGCCGATCATTGGATATTGGCTATTTAATGTCTTATTTGGTAGGGTATAATCTATCATCTATGCTTCTGTCACCACAAGGAGATTTTCTGTTCTTCAAGGAAAGATTAGTTAATAATTCTTTTCATTCTTCTACATAGCCTAGTTATAGTTGATGTTAACAATATTGCTTGATTGATTATTGAGCCACTGTTTTCTGTACATTAAGTTAGCTCTGTGGATAGGAAAGCAAAGGAGAACACATGATTGGTAATTTCTTGAATTAGTGAGAAAAATGGTCATAAAATTATGAAGCAAAATTTCGATAAGTACAAAATGTTGTGGTGTTAGCAGTATACACCCAAGAAATATAGAATGAAGGATAGATGAGGCTTATTAGGCTCTCACTACTCAAAGTTTAGTCCCTAGAACAGCAGCAACATGATCACCAGAAGCTTGTTAGAAATACAAAATTTCATATTCCATCCCAAACCTATTGAATCCAAATGTAAAAGAGTCCCAAAAATTTTAACAACATTCCTTTAAAAAGATTTTATTTATTTACTTTTAGAGAAGGGAAGTGAGGTAGAGAGAGAGAGAGAAACATCAGTGTGTGGTTGCCTCTCATGTGTCCCCAACTGGGGACCTGACCCACAACCCAGGCATGCGCCCCTACTAGAAATCGAACCAGTAACCCTTTGGCTCACAGGACAGCACTCAGTCCAATGAGCCACACCAGCCAGGGTTTGGTGGACACAGTTTAATGTTTAAACATTCCTTTAAACACTAAACTTTGAGAATCATCAAGTTAGACAAATGAATCTATAGAGATGAGATCAAGCTGTGTCTAATACTTTCACTGCAGTGGTTCTCAAATGGCACCTCAGATTTCCTGAGCTAATATTGACTGATCCCTAGTTTTTTCTTCATTGTAAAAAAGTGACACATTAATAGATAGAATTTTCTCAGCTGTAAGTTTTTCCTCATGTGTTTTTCTTAAATACATGGCACTGGTTACATTTGTCTTTCCTGGCACCCAATACCTCTTAGTCCTGGCTTTGCATGAGAATCACCTACAGAGCTTTTTCTAAGCATACCTATGTATGACTGAGTCCTTCTCAAGATACTCTGATTTAATTTGTCTGAGGAGAGACTTCAGGCATGGGCAATTTTTTAAAGCTGCTCAGATGATTCTAATTGGAAGGCTATGGTTCAGAACCACTAACCTAGTGTAAAATGATACTTATTTAAGGAACATATATCACCATATGGTATTTAATGAACACCATCTACTTTAGGTACTCCATCTTATTTTAGAAACCAGGTCTACTGATAGTTTATGTCATTCAGGAAAAAATATTAGGAAAAGGCATTCTGTGACTGTATACCCCAAAGCCATTTTGTCTTTTCCTTCTATTGTTGGGAGTAGACTGACTAATGATTTGCCTTTATTTCCAAGTTCAACTAATTTCCCAAATTCACATTCAGTTTCTTTTTTTAACAGACTTTTTTATTTAATTTTAACCCAAGGACATTTTGTTGTTGTTGTTGTTGTTGTTGTTGTTGTTGTTGTTGTTGTTTTTAGAGAGAGGGGAAGTGAGAGAGAGAGGCCTCGATTGGCTACCTTCCAAGACCAGACCGAGAATCAAACCTTCAACCCTTCGGTTACGGGACAACACTCCAACTAACTGAGCTACACCTACCAGGGCTCACTTTCAGTTTCTTATGCAGAGACCAACTGCTAAATGTTCATTATTTTTATACCTTTTGGAACTTAATGTCATCAGTGTAGGCAACTTAAGTCTCAAACATGTGGTGAAAGGTCTCTGTTGTGTCATTAATTGAGACAGTTGCTGCTTTAGAATGTATAGGTTTAGAAAAGAAACTGATGGTGACTTTCATGTGCAGTCCTTTTTGTAGTTTAAAAGAAATCAAGTTCCTAAATAAAATTGTATAATAGATCAAAATACAGCGTTGTTTTTCTTTTTCAGAGCATGGACAGAACATCAGGAGTACGGATTGATCATTGATGGTTCCACATTGTCACTCATATTAAATTCTAGTCAAGACTCCGGTTCTAACTACAAAAGCATTTTCCTGCAGATTTGTATGAAGTGCACTGCAGTGCTCTGCTGCCGAATGGCACCATTACAAAAAGCACAGGTAACTAGATATTAGTTAATATTCCATTCTGGGGAGTTCTGTTACACATGTGCAAATGTTCACTTCACTTTCAATTTGTTTCTTCTTTAAAAAGCCATTATTACATCTTCCCTGGCTTCATCCTCTCTGCGGTCAAAGTCAGGAGTCTTTACACCAATTTGAATTAAACCTATGCTTCACCTTATTGTTCCCTCAAGCTGGCTGTCCAGTTCCTCACCTTCCAAACTTCTCTAATGAGTATTTGGTGCCTGCTGCCTCTCCTAGTCCCATGCGTTCTTTCTTCTCATCTTACTCTGTGGGATCGCCAGGGGGACAGCAACAGCCTCCTTGCCAAATCCATCATGCTGTCTTCCATTCTCCTCCTCTATTCTTCACTGCAGGTGACACTATCAATTACATCCTCCTTAAAACTCTTCTGTCTTGGTTTCCGTGATGATCCACAGTCCTGAGTTATTTTTTTCCCTATTTGGCAATCTAGTGTCTTTTTATTTTGTTTCATCCTCTGTCTTCTCCCTCATTAAAAGTTTTCTCTGGTCTTGATTTTTTCTTTTCATTAAGTCTCGTATTTCTGGCTGCCTGCTAGACAGCTCCATATGGATTCCCTGCCATCACATTAAATTCTAGTGTTCCAAACAGATCCTATAATTTTGTCCTTCAGGCCAGTTTATATCTTCATTATTCCTGTTACCAGTGCGATTCTTCTTTTCCTTTGTAAGTCTCCAGTACTTCTGACCCTGCTCTTCTTCACGCCATATATACTCACCATGCCCTATTGGTTCTACCTTTTGTCATAGCTGTCATTTTGGTGCCATCTTTTTAAACCTTTTACCTCCAGCCCAGTCCAGGCCCTTGTAACTTTGCACAGAGACTATTTGATTTGGTTTCCTTGCTTTCACAGTTCCCACTTTAATCTTTTTCCCAAAACTCCCAAATTAATCTTGTTAAAACACTACTTCTCTCGTCATATATTCTTGCTCAGACACCTTCAGTAGTTTCCTAGTTGCTCAGGATGAAGGGCAGATGACTCAATGTGGCACTCAGGGCACACCCTGTTGGCCCTAAATGTGTGTCTACATACTTTGTGTCCACCGTAACTCCCATATCCAGTGTGAATTGTTCTCCCTTTCTGTCCTTTCCACATGCCAACTTCCAAGCTTTTCTCACATCATTTCCTCATCTGGAATTCTCTCAGAATTCCTCTTAGCCTAACAAAAATTATACTCATAATAAAACGCAACTCAAGGGCCACTTCCCATATGCTGTCTTTTTCAGCTCCCCCAGCCCACATTGATCTGCTTCACCTTGCTTTCTTGTACTCACTGGGTCCAAGGAACTTTAGAGTCTCAGTTGCACACTTTTTTTACTGCAACATACACTGTGGAGTATTCTTTCATATGTATTAGTCTTGCTTCTTCAGATTCTTTAACCGCTTCCTCTACACCCATGAGATAACTGTGTTTTTGGAATCTCCTTTATATATAAACTACCCCCTGCCTCACACTTGCATGCACACGTATGCACCCACACAAACACATCCCATCCTAATTTAGAGCATTGTCTCTGTCTACATTCTTCTCACTCTCAATCCCCACCACAGTCAGCTGCTCTTCTTTTTTGTTCAACCTTCAGAGCCCTGGTTAGCCTCAGCTGGGGAAGTGTATCCTGCCAGAACAGGATCCATAGAAATCTGTCCCCTTAGAGGCCATAGCCCTTTTACACCCCTCACAATCATCGTTGCTCAAGTTGCTCACCTGTGTTTTAACTACTCCATTGCTCAGGCTGGTGTCTGAATTCCTGGCCCCATGTGCTTCTCCTACCCAGAATATGGAGCCCCGTGTGTTGCAGTCCTCAGTCTGTTTTATTTCTCTCGCTATACCTACTCATCTGTCATGGCCGGATAGGTGATTTTCAAGTCACTTCTCCAATGCAAATCTTTGGGTTTCTACTTTACTTCTGTAGCTTCTTACTGAACACATCTTCTTGAGTGTGTCATTGTCACCTCAGCTCAGCCTTCTCTAGAGCCCAACTGTAATTTTCCTTGCCTTTTCTACATACGTTTCCGAGCTTACTGTACTTCGTAGTTTCTAGATTCAAAACTTTGAAATCTCTGTTGACTTCCCTCATGCTTTACCCTACCACATGATCTCAGTCACTGAATTCTTTCTGTTTCCTAGTGTATCTTTTGTCTTTTCCATTCATTCCTCTCGCTCCGTTACTTTACTAGTCCAGGCCTTTAACAACTAATTGAACTGCACCTATAACTAGCCACCTAACTTCTCTTTGCCTGCAGTCTTGCTTTAATTCCCATTCTTCTTGCACCCTGCTGCCTGCCACTTTCAGAATATCACGCCCTGTTGTTGTGGCCCCAAGTATACCTGTCCATTCTTGCTATATGAAAACTCATTGTTCTGTTCAAGCCAGCCCTATTTTCTGAGCATATGTTGTACTTATCTAGCCGTATGTCTTAGAACATGATATTTCTTTCTCTGGAATATTCCTCCAACACCCTTCCCCCATCCATACAAATCCCAACAGTCTTTTATGATTTAGAGCAAAACACACTCTTCTGTAAAATCATTTCTGATCACTGTGGCATGTAGTGTCTTCTTCCTCTTCTAAGATCATAGGCCTTTTTAGGTGGACAACTTACATGACAACGTTATGTATTCCCTTGCACAGATTATTGCATATTGTTATCTTGTATTGTTAATCTAATTATCTAATATTCTTGTATTCATTCCCTATCTCTACTACTTCAGCATATGCTTTTTAAGGAGTGTGACCAAGCCTTGTATCTTTTTTGGTCTTTTGTGCTTTGTTTTACACATTGAATTACATGCAGTTATGGTTGATCAATAAATAGCTTTTGGTAAATCAATTTCTTTTTCATGAAGCTATCCTAGAGATTGAGGAGAAATTCTTAATCCAGGTGACCTGGGGCTCAGTTTTGTAAAAAAAGTTTCTCTCTCTAAATCTTTTTATTATTATAAAGTTCAGGACCATATATCCTTTTATCTTTCTGCAAGGGCAAGTTTTAATCTTTTTAATCTATATGTTCCTGCAGAAGCTGTCACTCTTGGTAATTTTCCTTGTCTTTTGTAGACCTTTCCTGGCTGCAGTTTTTCTTCCTTGAGGTGCAAGTCATTACTGCACGTAGTATAACAAGTGCAATTAGTTTAGCCAGTGTTGTAGCCAATAAAAATCCAATTTAGTTTGGGTTCTCTAATTTTGCCAGAGGCTCACAGATTATTTTTGACAGCCTTACAAAGTTTTTTAAAAGAACTCAAATGAGAGGAGGGATTGGAGGAAAGTTGGCATTTCACAATCCCATCATTCTTGTGTTCAGTTGAATTGGATGTGGGTTTTGGGGTACACTATTTACTACCAAATAAAACCTGACTGAATTTTGTTTGAAGAAAAGACTATGGGGTGGTTTAGCCTTGTATAAACTATTTTTAATCACTTCAGTTGTGTTTCAAACAGATTTTATTTATGTTAACTGGTGAAAGCAATTGTGAGGACAGAATTTTTACAAGGCATTATTTAACTACTGGATTATATAAGCTTTTAAAAGCTGCTAGGTTCCAAGGGGTTTTTGAGGGCTGACACATAAAGCAGTCATTATCTAAAACGGAGTAGGAGGACAGCTGCTTACCCAATGCACTTCCCACAAGTAACTCCACCAGAGGATTTATTTTATTCAGTACCTACCATGAACACAGCATGGAGCTACACTGTGTTGACACCTTGAAGAGACACTCAAGGAACAGTGACAGGCTTTTTACACATACATATCTCAGATACTTCTGCAAATCTCACCACCTTTAAGATGTCTTCTTTTAAAATACAGCTACCTATGCTACCCATAGGAGAGATGAAATAATATTGGGCAGTGGGAGAAATTTCATTGACAGCTAGATGAGTGCAATAATTTAACATTAGATGCCCCTGAGAATAAGGTTTGGAGTGCACCAAGGGGGAGTGCGAGTGCCAGCAGGGAGGAGAGAAGGAGGGGTTCCCCGAAACGTTGTTTGTCATTTCCCACTTTTGTTCTTGTAGCCCTGTGCATGGTACCTCAGATAGCTTTCTGGTCTCCGCTGTCATACAGTCAACACCTGATCTGAAAGGATACATGAAGCACGAAAAAGAGAGAAACATGTTAGCATTTAATATAGATAAGAGGCAGGGGTTTTTGACAGCTCATATGTTCAAAGAGCCAGAAACAAGTGGGCACTGGTATTGTATTTTGAAAAGCTGTGTTCTTATGCCTCTGAGAATTCAAGACTATTGTACATATATGCACAAACTCCGTTTCTGTTTGCAAGGCCTCCATTTACAAGTGTGAATGAGGCATCTACCCCTAATATAGCATAGTCTCACATTCAACTTTGACCTTTTCTATACCTCTTTTTTATTTAATGTTTAGATTGTCAGAATGGTGAAGAATTTAAAAGGCAGCCCAATAACACTGTCGATAGGTGATGGTGCCAATGATGTTAGTATGATCTTGGAGTCCCATGTGGGAATAGGTAAGAAACACCTAATGAGATGGCAGCTGTAAGGTATCAGTATTGCTTTTAGGTAGAGTGGTTTTATATTCCAGAGAGGTTGTTTTGGTTGCTCATTCTGAGATCTAATTTGGGAATGATAATAGTTAGTTGAATTAATGTCCTCATTTGATCATGCAACATCAACATATCCATCCCAAAAACTGACCTACCCATGGGGGGAATGTAGCAATACAAAATTGAGGATCTTTTTATATGAGCCAAATAAAGTGAATTTCCAAACCTACTGGCAGCACAATTGATCGTTTAGCTCTCACTTTGACAGCACGTGTGAAATTGTATTGTTTTTCTGTTCCGGCCAGATCTCCTGCTTATGTTGCTGCACTATATCTTTTGAGATTCTTAATTGTTTGGTACTAAGAAGTGATAAGTGCTTGGCTGGTTTTCCACATGGCCATATTTATTGGTGGTTTGGGCTCTAATGGTGAATTAATATGTTGGCATGTGCTGACAAACAGCTCCTGTACAACCTGTCCCATTCCCCACCCCACCCCTCGGTCAGGCTGCTGGGAGGCAACCATGCTAACCACCCAGCAAGTTGTTTTTTTGGTTTTTTTTTGAAGGGGGAGAAATAATGGAATTACTATCTTGTGAATTATTGTACTGCAGTTTGGATTCCCAAATCCCCAAATTCTTTTCATTTGGAAGTAACCCTATGTTGTGTGGAACTCTTAGTTCTATGCATTGGTTATCCAGTGGGAAATGGCCTAAAGCTCCTTGAGCTCATAGAAACTTGCGCTGCTACTGGGAGTTTCATTCAGTGAAGGAAATTTAGCATCTCATTGTAACTTTTCAGTTCTGAGCTCCTAGACCACAGACCACAGGTCTCTGGGTTGCTTTAATATTGTACCTAGATTTGTGCCATGCACTGTTAAGCACTCAGTGCCCTTAACCGATTTCCAGATTAATTTTTTCTCAAGATAATTTTTGCCTTATAATTGTTAAAATAATGATTCAATTTAATTGTATATTGTGTTATAAATAGATGACTACCAATTAAACTTAGTTTTATCATTTATTGGTGTCTCAGTCATTGATAAAGAAAGCACTTTTTGGTTAAAAAAACTAAGCTAAACTGTACATTTGAACTATAACATATAAACAAGTTAAAAATATGAAAATGAGAAATCCACGTCTTGCTTATTCAATAAAATACTCACCCTCTAGAGATTTTCTCTTTTTTTAGGTATTAAAGGCAAAGAAGGTCGCCAAGCAGCCAGGAATAGTGATTATTCTGTTCCAAAGTTTAAACATTTAAAGAAACTGCTATTGGCTCATGGACATCTGTATTATGTGAGAATAGCACACCTTGTACAATATTTCTTCTATAAGGTATGTGATCATACATTTGCAATTTATTTTAAGACTACTTAATCCAGCATGGGCTCAGCTTAGTCATAGTGTTTTTCCTCTTTTTCTCTTATTCCTTTCACTCTCTTCACCCTGAAATATGTGGTCATTAAAACAGAGATCTGTTTATGAAATGGGAAGCAAGAAATTCCTTTTAATGCAAGACATTTGAGATGAAATTTAAGTCAGCTTTCTTGAAGTATAGTTGAAATAAATGAGGTGTACCCATTAAAAGTGCAGTTCTGCCCTGGTGTGGCTCGGTTGGTTGGAGCAGCGTCCTGTAAACTGAAAGGCTGCATGCAGGTTTGATCCCGATCAGGTCACATGCTGAGGTTGCGGGTTCAATCCCTCACCCGAACCCTCCCACTCAGGTGGGATGCATATGGCAGGCAAAGGACCAATGTTCCTCTCCCTCTGTCTCTCTAAAAACAGTGAAAAAATGTCCTCAGGTAAGGATAAAAAAAAGTATACTGTTCTATTTTGACAAATGTATACGTTCATGTAAGTACCACCCCAATCAAAACTAGAACATTTTCATCATCGCAGAAAGTTCCCATGTGCTCCTTCCCATTGTCCTCCACCCTGATCCAAACAATGACTAACCTGATTTATATTAAAATATATAGTATTGTAATATATAGCATATAATATATAGATTTAGATATAATTTATGCAATATACACATTATGTATGCCTGTTTTAGAACTCAATAGAATCATAGGTACTCTTTTGTGCCTGGCCTATTTCATTTAGCATGTTTTTGAGTTTCATCCATATTGTACCATCTATCAATAATTGGTCCCTTCTTATTCCAAATAGTATTCTAAACTATTCTTTCTCTTTTTCCTCTTTGTAATTACTTTTTTCTTTTTATTTTTTGTTGTTCAGTTATAGTTGTTCTGCCTTTTTCCTCATTGTTCACCCCAAACCCCCCGCACCGTTAATCCTCTGCCACTGTCTGTGCCCATGAGTCCTATTTGTATTCTTTTTAGTGTTCTCTTTTTAAATGAAATTACACAGTTAACAGCAGATAGAAGCAGGATTGCATTGACTAAAGGATGATGGGGCAAGGGCTGTGTACTTGCTCAACCTCCCTGTTCTTCCCAGAGGTTTCTCAGAGCACAATTCGGAATCTGTGAATATAATTTAAGCCACTCAGTTTACACATAATGAACCTGTCATGCAGGAACGTGAAGGAACTAGTCTAAACTATGCAAATCATTTTTAGCCAAGATAGCCCAGAAATTGATCTCCTGTCCTGTATTATGTTCAGTATAGTTTTTTTAAAAGTTTTTTTCACTTTTCATTTTAAAATAATTTCTGACTTTAAAGAAGTTGCAAAATTACTGGAAATAATTCTTACATAGTCTCTCAGTTTTGCCACCTGTTAACACTTTAGATAACCCACATCAAGATTAGTAAATTGATATTAACTGGCACTTTATTAACTAGCCTACATACCAGATTGGAATTTTGCCAGTGGTTTCTAGAATCTCCCTCAATTTGAGTTTATCTAACATTTGCTTACTGTTAGATTCAAGTTATGCATTTTTGGCACATGTCAGTATGTTTCATTCCTGACAGTATTGACTTTGATAACTTAATTGAAATGGTGTTTTGGGTATCTCTAGACCCTACAACTTTGCTCTGTGTAATTTCATTTGAAAAGATCATTCTAGTGGTTACCACAGGCTGGGGCGAAGGAGAAATAGGGAGATGTTATTTAACAATACACACTTGCCACTAGAAGATGAATAAGTTCTGGAGAATTATGTACAACATGGTGGTTATAGTTAATTATATTGTACTATATACTTGAAAGTTGCTAAGACTCTAGATCTTCAGTGTTGATAAGGATGTGATATGACAGAGGTGCTAGCTAACATTATGCTAGTAATCAGTTGCAGTATAAAAATGTATCAAACCAACATGTACACCTTAAACTTACACAATGGTTTATGTCAATTATATCTTAATTTAAAAAAAAAGCCAAGGTCACCTATCCCCAAGTCCTGAAAACAGGCAGTTAGTGGTGGAAGGAGACTTGACTTGGGGTTATGAACACACAGTACAATATACAGATGATGTGTTATACAGTTGTACACCTGAAACCTATATAATTTTATTAATCAATGTCACCACAATGAATTTATTTTCTTTTTTTTATTGTTCAAATACTTTTGTCTCCATTTTCCTGCCACCAGTTTCTCCTGCCTCAGCCACACCCACCTTCCACCCTCAATCCATCCCCACTTTGACTTTGTCCATGGGTCCTTTATACATGTTCCTTGACTTAACCCTTCCCCTTCTTCCAATTACCCCCCTCCCTCCTCTGCTCCAGTTACTGTCAGTTCTTTGTTTATTTCAATGTCTCTGGTTATATTTTTCTTGTTTGTTTTGTTGATGAGGTTCCACTTATAGGTGAGATCATATGGTATTTGTCTTTTGCCCCCTAGATTATTTCACTTAGCATAATGCTCTCCAGTTCCATCCATGCTGTCATGAAGGGGAGTAGCTCTTTCTTTCTTTCTGCTACGTAGTATTCCGTTGTGTAAATGTACCATAGTTTTTTGATCCACTCACTTACTGATGGGCATTTAGGTTGCTTCCAGCACTTGGCTATTTATTGTAAATTGTGCTGCTATGAACATTGGGGTGCACAGGTTCTTTTGAATTGGCATTTTGGGATTCTTAGGGTATAATCCCAGCAGTGGAATCTCTGGGTCAAAAGACAGTTCCATTTTTAGCTTTTTGAGTAAATCCCACAGTTTTCCACAGTGGCTGTACCAGTCTGCATTCCCACCAACAGGGCACTAGGGTTCCCTTTTCTCCACAGCCTCGCCAGCACCCGTTATTTGTTGATATATTTACGATGGCCATTCTGACCGGTGTGAAGTGGTATGTCATTGTGGTTTTAATTTGCATTTCTCCGATGGCCAGTGATGTTGAGCATCCTTTCATGTGTCTCTGGGCCCTGTGTATGTCCTCCTTGGAGAAGTATCTGTCCATATCCTTTGCCCATGTTTTAATTGGATTGTTTGTCTTCTTGGAGTGGAGTCATGTGAGTTCTTTATGTATTTTGGAGATCAAACCCTCATCTGATGTATCATTGGCAAACATATTTTCTCATACAGTTGGTTCCCTTTTCATTTTGCTTATGTTTTCTTTAGCCATGCAGAAGCTTCTTATTTTGATGAGGTGCCACTTGTTTATTCTTTCCTTTATGTCCCTTGCTTTAGGGGACATATCGGTGAAAATATTGCTGCATAGGATATCTGAGAGTTTCCCACCTATGTTCTCCTCTAGGACTCTACAACACTGAAGAAAGAAACTAAGGAAGACACAAATAAATGGAAGCATATACTGTGTTCATGGATTGGAAGAATTAACATCATTAAAATGTCCATACTACCCAAAGCAATTTATAGATTCAATGCAATCCCTATTAAAATACCAATGACTGCCGTAACTGGTGTGGCTCGTGGATTGAGCGCCAGCCTGAGAACCAAAGGGTTGCTGGCTCAATTCCCAGTGTAGGGCACATGCCTGGGCTGCAGGCCAGGTCTCCAGCAGGGGGAGTATGAAATGCAACCGCATATTGATGTTTCCTTCTATTTCTCCTCCACTTCCTTTCTCTAAAAATAAATAAATAAAACTTTAAGAAAGTAAAATAACAATGATGTATTTCACAGACAAAGAACAGACACTTCAAAAATTTATATGGGACCATAAACAACCCTAAATAGCCGCAGCAATTTTGAGGAAGAAAAACAAAGCAGGAGGGATCACAATACAGGACATAAAAGTATATTACAAGGCCACTGTAATCAGAGGAGTCTGGGACTGGCACAAGAACAGACACATAGATCAGTGGAACAGAATAGAAAGCCCAGAAATAAACCCCTGTCTCTATGGTCAATTAATATTTGACAAAGGGGGCAGAAGCATAAAGTGGAGTAAAAATAGCCTCTTCAACAAATGGTGTTGGGCGAGCTGGACAGCTACATACAAAAAAATGAAATTGGACCACCAACTTACATCATACCCAAAAATAAATTTAAGATGGATAAAAGACTTAAATATAAGTCGCGTCACCATAAAACTCCTAGAGGAGATCATAGGTATGTGTCACTTCTTATACCAATACCAGACTGTTTTGATTACATGGCCTTGTAATATAGTTTGATATCAAGTATTAGCCCTCCTACTTTGGTCTTCTTTCTCAAAATTGCTGCAGCTATTAGGAGTCGTTTATGGTTCCATATAAATTTTTGAAATGTCTGTTCTATATCTATGAAATACATAATTGGTATTTTAACAGGGATTGCATTGAATTTATAAATTGCTTTGGGTAGTTTGGACATTTTAATGATGTTAGTTCTTCCAGTCCATGAACACAGTATATGCTTCCATTTATTTGTGTCTTCCTTAATTTCTTTCTTCAGCATTGTGTACTTTTCTGAGTACAAGTCTTTTACCTCCTTGGTTAAGTTTATTCCTAGGTACTTTATTTTTCTTGTTGCTATAGCAAGTGGGATTTTTTTTCCTGATTTCTGATTCTGATATTTCATTGTTGGTGTACAAAATGCCTTCAGTTTCTGAATACTGACTTTGTAACCTGCTGTTCTGCCAAAGTCACTTACTAGGTCGAATAGCTTTTTGGTGGAGTCTATAGGGTTTTCTATGTACGCTGTCATGTCATCTGCAAACAATAACAGTTTTACTTTCTCTTTTCCAATTTTGATGTCTTCTATTTCTTTTTCTTGTCTGATCTCTGTGACTAGAACTTCCAATTCTATGCTGAATAGAAGTGGTGAAAGCAGACATCCTTGTCTCATTCCCAATCTTAGTGGGAAAGCTTTTAGTTTTTGCCTGTTGAGTATGATGTTGGTTGTAGGTTTTTCATATATTGCCTTTAATATGTTGAGGTATGCCGCCTGTACTCCCACATTGCTGTATGCTTTTATCATAAATGAGTGCTG